AAGCCCCCTTACCCCAAGCTCCCTTACCCCAAGCCCCCTTACCCCAAACCAGGTGGTGTGCATGTACCAGTAGATCTCCCAGGATTCATTTGTGCTTGCTGCTGATTCATAAGATGTACTGGACACAGCTTTTCATTTTTCTCAGAAAACTACTCATTTCTGTCTCACGGCTTGAGTAACACTACCGTCCAGTTGTGACAGATCCATGTTATTCATGTTTGTTGTTGCAGATGAGTGTCACCGTTCAGCCCAGATTTGAACTAGCCGTGTAGTATTCCAAATCACATTTTGTTGGTACATGTACTGTACATGTTAGACGCTTTCACTCAGTTACAACATGTATGTTCATGCGCCTTTACAGTCGACTCTCGTTACAAAGAACACTGTTATAACAAAATACTGTTATAAAGAACAGATTTCAGGAATCCCAATTTCTTGAATTGTTATGTTTCTTTGTTTTTTCACTCCTTTATAACAAAGTCCTGGTTATTACAAAGTAATTTGTCTGATCCCTGCAACTTTCTTACAACGAGAGTGGACTGTTGGAGCATACAGGATGCAATCATCGCACCGCTGCTCGTTGTTAACCTTAAACTTAGCCCTGCTGTTTTCTTTCAGGATATGACATAGCGTGTTGATACATACTTATGAACATACGGCTTGTTTGTATCTAAAAAGAAATGTTAATGACGGGTTTGATTAATTTAACATTTTCCTGTTCATGCGATTCCAGACTAACAGTAACAGCGGCAACAGTTCCTTCATTAAGAATAACGGATTCATGGACCCACACTAGGTCACCGTGGTAAGCATAGCAGGCATACGACCAGTCAGCATTTCACCACTTGGATTATTGGTTGGAGTTTGAGCTTGGTTGCTGTGATGGCCGAGTCAACCGGCTTCTGTCATCAACAGCGTTGTCATGACAGCAGTACAGCCAATCAGCAACAACTGTGGAGTACATATAGCTTCTTGTCAACCCCTACCAACAAGCAACCTCTTCAGACAGGTGTCTGTAACCGTGTCCTGCTCAAACGCATTTTGGTGATCAAATTAATATACAGGTATATGTTGAAATGCAGTGTAACTTATTCTTTGACAGCAATAAATAGAATATTTTATGCCAGGATTGTCAGTTTTCATATTTAGTTTCATGTTTCCAAATTCAGTATTTCTTTTACATTTTCATAATTGTTAAGTTAAAGATACCATGACATGTATATCTTACATTGGTTGTCAAGCCACTGAAGTAGAAACTAAACAGTTTTATCTTCTCACTTTTCTTTTCTCACATCAGCCACTACAGTCTTTCAGTTTTTTTTAACTGCCGATTTCGTACTCGACGCACTTTTTGTCCCCATAGAGCCAGCTGAAATGTGAACAAATTTGTACACTGGTTGATTTCTTACCTTTTTTACAGTAACAATGTACATGTACATGCGTAAAGTCCTCCCATTTTGTCTAGTCAGTGACAGACAAAACTAGTGACTAGTATCAGTACTCATTAGGATGAGCTCAGAGGCTGCCATCTTGGAGTTTGGAAAGAAATGTGTATTCAGAAAAAAAGTCAGCTGAAAAAAAAACACGAGAAAGTAGAAATGCACCAATTTGGCCAGTACCATCGAGAAGACGACACAGGTGAATTCCAAAAGATTTTCCAGTGAGAAGTCTTAAAAGAACAAATTGTTGTTGATGGGAAATTTCCCAATAAAATACTGCTCACTTAAAGAGGGCACAATTGTATATTGGAGTGATTAATTATTATTCATGTTGTACTTAGGTATTTGGAATTTAAGTTTAATGTACAGTCTTCTGATATATTGTGTAAATATTTTCCTGTATGGCTGAAACTGGAGTGACCTATTAATTAAGGTTATGTAATAGCAGTGCAAGAATACTATGTATGCTAAATGTACATGTACCAGTATACATGTACGTAGTTGGAAACCATCCAAGGAATGTAAAATGTTGTTTGCAGTGGATAGTAAAGATGGTCATAGTCTACATGTATCATTGTAGTTCCGATCATCACAGAAAGTATTGGAGGATGTTTGGATCACTCCCCTGGGGAAAATTACTTTGGGACTTACACTCACATTGTCTACTTACATGTACATTTGATACTTGTACTCAAGCACTACAAGGAGGCGTGCATGCGCTGTCTTGTCCGTGCAGACAACATGCATGCATCCCAAATGCAAAGCCCCTTTCAAGCAAAGTACACCCACGGGCACAAAGGCGAAATCTTACGTGTAGTTGCATTGTAAGTGCATAGTAGAGGCAGTCAGGTGTCCATCAGTGGTTGGACTTTCTTACCCCTGACTCTGCGCAAGATGCGCGGTGGCAGAAAGCAAGGGGGTCACAGTTGTGAGACACCAGGCTAGGCACTGCACTTTTCTTTTGTCCAGATCTAGGGCCTACCTGACAGTACATACATGGACCTGCCAATGGAAGGTGGTGGGCAGGGGATACATGTATATCAACCTGTGGAAGTTATAGTACATGTTCATGCCATCCTTGCCCCTTCCCCCTCCCTCTTTTTGGTACGGAGCACGATCAAGACTTGCAGATGGTAAACTTAAACCACAAGCAATAGATTTTCTTAATTTATGTTGAATTCTTTTTCTTCAAATATGAAATAATTATTATACATGTAAGTATTTTTCATGGCGACTGTTTGCTAGGTTTCACATGTGTACCGGGTATTTGTGAATTTTTGAATGTAGAGATAAGAAAAATTACATAATGAACAAACACTGTGACTAGATGAATTGAGATGGTCACCTTTCACTGTGAGATCTTTTTGATGACAGTCTCTCTTGTTTGCACAGGCACAAGAATGGCAGATACACGATGTATGCACATGTGAGATGAATTTTGTGGGTAACCAAATCAAATATCTATTGTATCTCCAAAGTTCCGGTTAGAGCACATCGCCAAACTTTGCTCCTAAGCTACTTCTCAGCATCCCAGTAATTGGCATAGTATTTTGCAGATAATCACTTGCCTTTCATTTTCATGAATGGGACCATCATCATGTTTGCAAAGTTGTACACGAATTGCAATTCTTTGTAAATCGTGTGCAGAAAAAAACAAAACATTATCCAAAATTGACCAGAACGTCGAGGAAAGAAGCTTGGAGGTCATTGGTTTTACATTTTGCAAGATTCATAAAGGCCTTTAGCTCATACATGGCACTGACATCCTGGGACTCATTTTTACAGAGCGGGTTACATGTACATACATGTACAATATATCTGATAATGGGGAAGATGGAGGTTTTCATTCTGTGGTAATGTTTCTAAATAAGATTGCCTTTGTTGCTAGTGGTTACGTGGATCAAAACCCCTTCACCTCAAAAAAGGTAAACCCTTGCCTTCTTGTTACTGCCAGGTTTCAACAGTGATGCCCCAAACATACTCAAAATGATAAAAAATGCAACTTGTGTACAGTTTGTATGTCAAAGCTTTAACATGAATCCTTTACCCTTTGTTTTGAATGATCTCCTCAAGACTGCAGTCAGTGTATGTGCATACATGTACATGTACTTTGAGGTTTAATGCTATGTATGTTTATGTATCTTTACGGTGCCTTTGTGTAAATAGAAAGGGAGCCTGAACACCTTTGTATATGTAGGTAATATTGGAAACAGAGTTGCTTTGGTGTGTCAATCCGTCCAGTACACGTGCCATTCTAGAAACGATCAAAAAGAGAGCAGAGCTCTGCATGCATAAAGAAAAGATCTGTAGCTAGGGTTGCATATGCCACCCAAATCTTGAATGTTGACTTGCTTTACTCCAAAAATAAAAAAAAGAAAGAAAAATCTCCAACCCCCCAAATGGCTAGCGCAGTGTTGTTTGAATCCTGCCATGAAACCACTGTCTGTCATATCTGTGCATTAGGCAGGGTACATTGCCACTCTAGGAGTTGACAAATTGTTTTGAAGTTGCTTTTGAAGCTTCCGCACAGTATGACACGTGTGTTGCCCAATTTCTTAATTGTCAAGTGCTCTTTTTGTTGTTTTAATTTCAGTACGTTGCAAAATAACAAGCAGCATTGGTCACCAATTCTTGTTGGACTTTTATGTGCGGGCTCTTTATCATAAATTTCGAAGAGTGAGAATTTTGAAAGATACAGTATTTTTGTCAAACCTGCAAAAGTCTTATGGGCACCTCCAGAGTTTCCCCTTGTTTTGAACCGATACCAAAAATATATTGACAATTTAGTGGAGTTTAGACAAGTGCATAAAAGCATTATATATTTTAACTTGGAAGTTTTTTTTCTGAATTTGTCAAAGTAAATATTCATATGAATTTGAAGGTTATATTTTAATATGTCTATTAAATGATTCCTTTTTGCTTTGACCGTCCTGCAAAAGAATTGCCATAGTATTAATTTTTTAGAGTATTTTGCTTGAATGCGTGATGTTGACTGTAAGCATTGCGTGACTGGTGTATAAATGATAAACGTACACATGGAGTAGATGTGACTTCGTGTTCATCCATCCTTACTATTACATGTATGTACATGTATAAAATGTGCCTTTATCTAACTTACTCTTCATAGAATTCAAGTGTTGTTTCTGTTTATATATATATGTGTCACTGTGTGTGCATGTGGTGTGTGCGTACATACCTAGCCTTTTTTTCATGTAGATGTTTTATATCTGAGTTTTACTACAGAGTATTTGATGCAAGGAGAGAACTTTTTCAGCCTACTGCCTTAAGCTAATACAGGCAGAGGTCTGGATTCCAGTTCAGCACTTGATGAACGGGATGTGTTTCGTGTGCACCATGTTGATGTGCTTTATTGCTCTTTGGTGTACAGTGTGGTGCAAGTACATGTTCTCAGTTTAAATTTCAGATCCAAAGTCAGCATTTACTGGTCCACTATTTTTATTTTTCATACACACATATTTTGAATGCAATATACATGTACATAAAGTAGCTGTAACTATGCACCCTTAACCATGTTTACTGTAAGTTACTGTGGATGGTACATGACAATAAATCACCAAATAGTTGAGAAGAAAAATGCCACTTTGAATATCGCTGACTTTCATTCCCAGTTGTCACTCGGACCAGGGAGACTGGTTGATTGGACTTGCATTCCTGGAATTTTGTTTATTTTTGACAAAGAAATTCACTGAAAAATGAATAATAATAAGAGTTTTTATATAGCGCCTTTAACTTACTTGGATGTGCTTTCCATTATTATTACCCCTGCCCACTTGGCCCATGAAACATTCCAAATATATCAGCTCCCTGGGGAGCATACAGCTTGATGCTGCTATTTTGGTGCAAAGCAGCTAAATCAACCCCAATAACCATCTCTGCCCTCACAGCGTACCCAATTACTCCTGGGTGGAGAGAGGCAATGATTGACAAAGTGCCTTGCCCAAGGGCACTGGCACCACGACCCCAGCTTGGATTGGAACCCGTAACCTGAGGCTTTACCTGCGGACTATGAATTCGATGCTCTTAACAAGATTGTACAGTTAGGTTCAGGAGTAACAAGACAACATGCACATTTCACTGACTTCACAAATCTGTAATGGCAGTATCTCCTGACCCCGGTCAGCTCAATTTACTTCGGGACTATTTGGGTATTTTCAGTGCATGTATTTCGTGTGAATTAGAATTGGTGCTTTTTAACAAAGAGTTTCCCATTCCCTGGGATAACTTTTAATGTTGGGGCTTCCTGTTCGAACTTGATGTGACAAGTGTTGCGTTGTTCACTGCCTTTCATGCATTGAATCAAAAATGAAATACTCCAAAAAGAAAATTTAACACCAGAAGAAAAGCAATTCTGGCATTCATGCTTGAATAAAAAATGAAACCATCATCTTGTTCAAGAACATAATATTCAGGTTTTAAATATGGAAATCTGCAAGACTATAAAAACAACAAGCTGCAAATTACTTTTCCAAATGGAAATACCAAAAATCATCACATGCATCCTGTGTGAAGAAAACATATTCTGGTGTATGTCTGCTTGCCAAAAATGTCAGCACAGTGCCACACAAATAATGTACATGTTCTTGTCACGTCTCATGTATCCTAGTAAAGTACAGTTATTAAGCTGATAGGCCTAAATGTTATTTTGCTTTTGAGAACTCGTGCTAAACGCTTTCTCCACAAACTCCTCCACAAATTGCTCCACGAGGTCAGCTTCACAAACCTTGAGCACAGAATTGTACGCACTGTGACACAGCAACAAGACATGTCCAGCCGATTAAACCAGGCCCCTCCTTGCAGCCAAATGTAAGGCCAAACAAAAAATTTGTTGTTTTTCTTATTACACTGAAAAATAAATTGGGGTGTTTTGGTTGGGTAAAATATTGTTTTTTACTCTAAATTTTTATTGACCAAAAAATTGGGGTTGGAAGATGGTCTGTATTTTTTGGGGGGGGAGGACACATATATCTGTAACAGGTACTAGGTCAGTGTCAGATTCATTACTGTACATGTGCACGTCAATATTACATATCAACACTGTGATTAGTAAAGCAGCTGGTTGTTGAAATACAAACACACAAGAGGCGTCCATCTCATGCAAAAAAAAATTAAAACAATACAATGTACAGGATGATGTACACAAAATTAGGCTCAGAGCAAGGCATTTTATTGATTTGTCGAATAAAAAGACATAGGTTCCACGTGATTTTCTAGATTGGGTTGGGCATTACCCGAAACACAGCTATTTTTTTGTTTGGCCTAATGTGAATGTACTGCTCAGGATGGCTTTTCAGTGGACTTTACAATGCAGTTACAATACATTTTGAAACCTACATGTACATGTATGCTCAGTGGCTTCATTAGGTCCAAGTGAAATCTGTCACTAAATACCAGTAAATCACTGCACGGTCCATTTGCATATCATCATCTTCGACATAGTGACATTGCATAATTTGTTATCACAATGCATTCTGGGAGGCAAGTAGGGGTTACATCAATTTTCAACCAGTAACCATGGTAACAGTGCATGTACATTGAGCTTAAATGTACATGTACGTGTAATCCGCTCTGAGCAGAACGAAAGAGGGCATGTTTGTGAATGCAATTGAGGGTCCTTTCGGTACCAACTCACCAAGTATATGCGCGTTTGACGTGGAGCACGCTGAGTACGCGCAACGAATTTATTCCAGAATGCATGGTCTTTGCGTACATGCAGAACACGTGCAAGAACCCAGCTGTAACCATCTGTCTTTCTTTCACCAACTGGGGGCGCACTTCAAGCTCAGGGCAGATAATGATAATAATTTGTACCCTACGAGTGTGCAGGCTGAGCAGGTAAGACACACCAATCGCAAATCAAATTTCCTCCCTCCGGAAGGATAATTAAATTCAATGACTTTGCCATGACCAAATTGAAATTGAAAATGAAAATGCATGACCCAATAATGCAAATTCTGGGACTATTCAGACTTTCTAAAGTTGCGAATAAAATCACACATTTTATGCACATATTCCTGATAACAGAAATCACACACAGTGTTAGAGCAATTCCATGACTTGTGCGTTCTTGCAACTGATTTTGTATATGATTTGTTCATCAACAATCTGCCAGTCGGTACGACTGAATATTTGGATATTCAATCAAATTGAAGGTCGAATACTAAATTATTCAAATTGACTCAGCCCAACTATGGTGCAGTTAGGTCCACCAACGTGGAGTACTCTCCATTTTTTTCTCAAAACCAAATATATACACAAAAAAGAGACATTTTGAACGATGCTACCGCAAACCCTTGTACATACATGTACATCTACTTAACCTGCCACCTTTACCATGAAAAGCTTTAAAGCTCATCTGATGCAAGGATGTTTTCAGGGTCCATCAGGCGATGGATCAAACAAATAATGACTGTTTTTACATTAACAGTGGACTGTTAGAGATGGAAGGAATGGAATGTGCCGGTCTTCACACATGGTAACGTAACTGCTGCCCCTCACTGTCCAGTCATTCCGTTGTCTTCATCCTCAACTCTGACCTCCGACAAATTTCATATGTGGGAGCAACATGTACAGCGACTGGTCATCATTCTACACAACGAGTACAGCATGCATCCTGGGTGCACTGTTTCATGGTGTGACAGGGAAGCAGGTGTCACTCTTCTTAGCTGAGGTCACATGACACCAGGAGTGAATGGAGGGCCTTGGCATATGCTGAAAACAGAACAAGTTTGAGGTATAAATAATACCGGTAATGTATTTGATGATTACGGTACAATTTACTGGTTGAAATGGCACTGACGACACCAGCAGTGGGCAGGGTTAGTTTGCTCTCAGAAAAGCCCCGGTATCCATGCATGCGGTAAAAAAGTTTAAACATGTAAACTAACTCAAAATCATATCCAAACTCCCCACACTCACGTCTTTTTCCAAATTCACATCTAGGATTGACTTATAACCAGCGTCTCGTCCAGCTGACGGTGTGCCTGTCTTCAGGACAGTTTTGCTCAGTATAAAATTGACAAACCCCGCCCAATTTGTTACGCAAATCTTTAACACTCGTAAATTGGAAACAATTAAGGGGCGTCTTGTTCAAAACTTTTGTAGGGAGCAGACAGGCAGTTTTTACATTAAATACGGGTTGATATTTTGAAGCCAAGATGAAATCCTAATTGCAACTTCCCCTTTCTGGCATGCCTGGTATTGTCCATAGCCAGAGCGCAGCGAGTGCTTGCGCTATTTGCAACATGTTTCACAACCACGAAACCCCTTTATACGCTATGAGCGCTGCTGCAATTTTTTGCTGGTAATCTGCATCCTTAAAACTTTGTGCACTGAGGTAAAGGAAATTGAATGTTCATGCCTTTGCTGGTGCTTGGTGTGATCTCATGACAACATCAAATTTAAAGCTTGCGCAGTTGCTTGCATTACGCTGTGTGCCCTAAATCTATATGTGAAGTCATTGCCCTTAATGAGGTCTTTCTTCTGGAGTTATTTTGGGAATAAATTGCCCAGTTGTTTACAAGATTTTGTTTTGTTGGAATCTTTTATTCATGGCATTTGTACAAAAGCGTATTTTATGAGATTTCACGATCACTCTCTGTGATGAAATAGCACATTTTGTTACTTGTGAACTTAGCTTTCCAGTAAGAGTCAACATTTTGTTGGCCAGTCTTAGCCAATTTCGTACCAATTCTTTGAACAATGATGTATTGGAGGGAGGAGAATAAAATTACAAACTCTACATGGATAATGGAACAGTGTATCAAAATTAAAAAGTTTCTTCACGATGGCAAAAATGGGTCTAATAACAGAGATTTTTCTCTCTCTGTTTCCCAGTCACAGAGGTAATTTGTATTTAATTGCAAGGAAAAAGCTAGAAGTATTACAAGGATATTACTGGCCCCGCTTGTCCGGCTAGGATGCAGGCAGTAATCAGACGTTTTTGGAATGTTTGTCTGATGCGGCAGCGACCATCATTGAACACTTGGAAGTGCCAGAGTTGCAACTCTTTCTGTGTCCGTCCTCTATGGTTGCAGGGACACTCCGAGATCAGAACGTAGACAGGGATTTGCACGTTTGCTTTCAACATTTGTAGTTTGATTTCTGTCCTACCGATGACTCAGTCCTTTCCAGGATGCCCCACGAAATCTTGTTTCTGTTGTAGTGCTGCACAAAGTTAAAATGTCATCGAGAATTCTGGGAACTGGAATGTAATTTGAGATGATATCTGTTGTTTTTTGTAAGAATTAAATGCTACTCTAAACTGCTATGTAAATTCTGAATATGAAGTTATTATTTTTCTGGAATTAGCATGTATCTTGCGATAAAAAAAGCAAGCTTTTTGCTACATGTAGCAGTCACGATGTTCTCTATTTGGCAAAATGTACATGTATGTGTTTACAAGAGTCTACTCAAACATTTCACGCAATGCATTCGAAATAACGTAACAATGCCACACAGCAGATTATCTATGGTCCCTTCATCGTCGAGAACTCCTCTGAAATATGGCCTGTGGGTGTTGTTGACGAGCACTTTCTGAAATTCAAGATTCAGCTTCGAAAATCCTTGGAAAGGAGAAAAGTATTAGTCCCTTCAAGCTCAGGGACAAAAACCTATTGGGAAAACAAATTAATGAGAGCTGCAACAAAAGTCAAACCGGCAGCCGAGCTTTCAGGAATGCCCCACTGACCTTTTGGATTCTTGTAGAAGAGACAATTATTGGCGCAGGTGTCCGGGTTGGCATCCCAGACACTCGGCCCACAGGCACACAGCGGTGGCACCTCCACACCCATCTGTTGTATTTTCTCACGCATCGTTGCCTTCAGAGCCCTGATGTATCTATAAAGAGGAGACATAGCAGGTGCTGAGGTTGGAGGATAATGGGGAATCCCCTTAACATCCAGTGGATAGACGGATTGCAAGAATATACGGAAACAATCAAACACTAGGATTTTTCAAGGTTTTTAAGAGCTAACACGGCATACCGGTAAGTTCCCTACCAAATGGCTGAATCTTGATTTTGTGCACTAAAGTGCAAAAAAGAGCCCAACCTGAATGCTCTCTGACATAAGGTCAACAAAATTTGAATACTGACTAAAGCGCACGGATATGTAGGCCCTTCACTTCACAAGCGCACAATTTCTTGATCTGAACTGAAAGTGTAAGGACTGGAGCACTGGAATACGGCAACCAATTTGGTATTCCTTATGCAATTTTGCATGAAAGAAAATGTGTCAGTGAGCATTCTGCATAATCACTGTTTGAGGCTGTAAGCATGTAACTATCGCTGACTCATGCACATAGATCATATTCCAGTTAGTGCGATGTCAGTTACTTTCATCCTGAATGACTTCACTGATTCACCAAATTGTCTTACATCAGCAGGTCTGAGCATACCACATGTCTGGGGACAGCAGCCGATTTCACGAAACCTGGTGTACATGTAACTTTACACCGTGCGTGAGCCCTATGCCAAAAACATATGGCACACAAGTAGCTGGGTAAACACGGCCCATTTAATGCAATGTCGCTTGGCTGTACGTACATGTACGTGTATTAATCACACCACATTTCTTGGACGAGGACAGCAGCTGTACATTTCTCATATAAACCTTGCTCAGCAATGATGAACCGAACATGGCATGCTTGTAAAATCGTTCACTTCCGATTTGTTTGGCACAGCTTGGGGATGTTTGTTGATTAATTTGAATTTGTATCTGTATTTTCAATCACAATCATTTTTATTTTTACTGTCGAATATTCTTTTTATTTTTATATTTTATATCGATATTATATTATTATCTTTCAACTTAACGTTTTCTACTTGTTCGAGCCAAGACCAATTCTGTAGTAAATTTTTATTTCCATACAGCAATAAATAAGTCAAATCCAGTATCAGCGGTGAGAGTTGAGGGCCTACGCAGTTCATCACTTTAGTGAAATGTGTTGTAATTTGTTGCGCAACTTATCTGTATGCAATAAAATGAGGCATAAGTGAAATTAAAAAATTGCATCAACTTCCATGAAATCAGCAGCACATCTACATGTATCTTCAGTCTACTTTACTCCATCATTCCCAACCCACCTGTTCATTTCTGTGCTCTTCTGCTTTCTGCTCCTCTCCCTCTGCAACACCTGTTCCATATACTGTTGTTCCTCCCTCTGTCGCTGGAGCACCTCCTCTTCGGTTTCCCCAGTCAGGAGGTTCCTGGGCTCCACCCTCTGGTGGGCGTCAGCTTCAACCTTCTGGCGTTCCTTCTCTTTCTCCTCTTTGAGTCTGAAAGCCATGAGAAACAACTCAAAGACTCGGTGTTTCAACAAATCTAAGTCTCTGGATGGAAACGTGCCCAAAAGACCCAAGATTT